CCTCCCGGGTTCAAGCGATTCTACTGCCTCAGCCTCCTGAGAAGCTGGGATTACAGGCACGCGCCACCACACCTGGCTAATTTTTGGTATTTTTAGTAGAGATGGGGTTTCACCATGTTGGCCAGTCTGGTCTCGAACTCCTGACCTTGTGATCCACCTGCCTCGGCCTCCTAAAGTGCTGGGATTACTGGTGTGAGCCACCGCGCCCAGCCTGGAAATCTTTAAGGTGCATTAAGGTTTGTCTTTTTTTTTTTTTAACTTCTCGAAAAAAAATAGAGACAATGTCTTACTATGTTGCCCAGGCTGGTCTCAAACTCCTGGCTTCAAGAGATCCTCCTGCCTCAGCCTTCCAAAGCACTGGGATTATAGCCATGAGCCACTATGCCTGGCCATGCCTTAAATTTTTGATTCAAGACCAGAAAAGAGCTTGCAAATAAAAAAATTAAAAGTTGTATCTTGCTCCCATTTCGAAAGGATGGGAGCTTCAACAGAGACAAAAATATTATTGAAGTGTTCAAATTGTCATTCAAATTTTATTTATCATACTTATTCCTGATTTTAAATGCATTATGCTTAAAGGAGAATAAGGTTTATTTATTTATGTATTTATTTATTTATTTAGAGACAGAGTCTCGATCTGTCACCCAGGCTGAAGTGCAGTAGCACAATCTTGGCTCACTGCAACCTCTGCCTCTTGGGTTCAAGCGATTCTCCTGCCTCAGCCTCTCCAGTAGCTGGGATTACAGGCGTGCACCACCATGCCTGGCTAATTTTTTTAGTATTCTTAGTAGATACATGGTTTCACCATGTTGGTCAGGCTGCTCTCAAACTCTTGACCTCAAGTGATCCACCTGCCTCCGCCTCCCAAAGTGCTGGGATTCCAGGCTTGAGCCACCATGCTCGGCCACGTTTTTATTTATATGACCAGTGTTCCTTCAATCTTTCGTCCCGTGAACAGAGCAGTTCACAAGAGTGGGTGATATAACACATCTCCATTTTACCATTTTACAGATGAAAGGCTTTTTTTTAATTTGACATTTAGAACTGTAAAGAAGTTTGTTCCATTTTTTCCACTCTTTTCAAAGCAACTTGTTCAGTATTGACCATGCAGTGTTTTTCGTAAAAATAAAAGTTAAGAGACGTACGTACCGGGAATCCTGTTGAGTGTCACCCAGAAATGTTCGTCGGGGCTGTAGGTGTCCTTGGACCAGGAGAGTAAGTCAAGTGCGAGCTGGTCTTGGAGGACAAAGTTAGCAAAGTCCCTTGTGAGAGCTACATAGGCCGTGCCAAAGTAAATCACCATGTCATGAGGAGGAGGAGTTTTTAATTTTGTTGTTTTAATCACATAGGAATTTTTGTGGTCTAACAGTTCTTGGTGGACATATTTAGTCCGTCCAACAGCATGGTCAGGAGGCAGCACCCCTGGGGTGATATTTCTCCCTTTAAATCTCTTCAGATACTGAACTATTTCCCTGTTGGTTTTCAGGGGAAAGTCTTGCCCGCAGGTGTTGATGACATACTTCCAGGGAACCTCAGAGGCCACAAGGTCTTCCAGGCAGTTCAGGTCAGCCTGGAGCCTGGAGATCCCCCCATAGACGACTGACTCCTTCTTGGAAGCCAGAAAAGCATTTGGGAAGCAGTCAAGTAACTGTTTCACTGCACCTTTAAAGGTATCCGTCGCCTTCTGATCCAGGTGCACACAGTACACATTCTGGGGCATATAAATCGCCCTGAAGAGCCTCTCAAAAGTGCCAAAGTCTTTGTGGATTGTCACTGTGTAAGCTAAAGGGAACCCAGCCTCTTCTTCGGAGAGTGTTTCTGTTACATAGTGGCTTCGAACCATGTACTCATAGCAGGTAGCTTCATCAAGGGTAGTTTTCAATGCATTTTCTGTTGGGTAAAAAACTTTCCCCTCAAAAATCTGATGACAGGCTTCTGCTAACAGTGAAGCGTTGGAGAGCGCTGCCCTCAGAAAACGTTTATTCTCCCGTAACTCAGTATTGTAAACAAATACAAAAATCAGGGCAGAAATAAGAGACCCGCTAAAAAGACAGTGCTTCCAAGAGCCCATCATTCACAACCAGGAAATGAGTAAAAGATCTCTCTCTCAAGATAGGATCAGAGTGTAGATATATTTAACTTACATTTTCTCCACGTTCCGAAATCATCCTCTTGATGGCTGAAGCTCTGGTCTGGCTGTTCCCCGTCCCTTCAGTTCACAGTTCTAGTCCTTTTTCTTTCTTCTTCCCCTCTTCATTTACCACTAGGCTGCATTTTCACTTTTCTTTGACACATTTCTGAAGTGGCTCCTTTGCATTTGGCTTGCCTGTTCTCCCGCTAACCTGCAACCTGTGTCTACACAAAAACAAATGTCCTCAGAGAGGTTCTGATTCCGGGTAGTCCACCTGTTCCCACCGTGAAATCGCAAGTGGATGAGGTGACCATTCTGCAAGTCATCGGCTCTAAGACCTTAACCTCAGCCTCTTCTCCCGGCCAGAGTCTAGTAACTGTGTCCCCTCCCCTGCTTCCTGTTAATCATTGTGTTCAACAGCCTGAGTTTGTTTGCTTAAACTGCGCTGCCAAGTTAAGAGCTTCAGTTTAAAGCATGTGAATACCGCCTGGAGTTATATTCTGTCAATAAATACGTAGTGCTTTAAAAAAATTCCTTAACCCTGTCTTTTTCCACAGCCACACCTTGTTCTCCCCATTGGCTGGGTAGGCTATACGGCATAGTATATGACTGGCTATTGGGCTAAATTCTTTCCAGGGCTCAATTTTGTCTGCTGCTGCGTAAAGTCCTTTAAAAGGCACATTAATTAGCAAGCTTACCTTACCACTTAACTTACTGCACAAAGTGACTGTGGCACTCTGATGAATAAAGGCTAACTTCTTTTTTAAAACAACAAAATAAGTAACAGCCCATCAGCACCCAAAATTGCATAGAGGCTAATATCAGTGAATTTCAAGTTTATTTTGCCCTGGTCCACATAGGATGCAGACAGAGAACCCTGATGCTTAGAGGAAGGAGAGAAGAGCATCTCGGTTTTGAATGCTCCTGAACTTTAGGAGAGAGGCTCTTACGTCCAGATTTACAAATGCTTTAAAGGAGGTGTAAAAAATGAGAATAATTTTACTACCATAGATCAATTGTGAGAATAAAATGACATAACATATACAGAGTCCATCACCGTGTCCAGGAACAGATTGGGGTGGTA